AAATTATAATATTTTTTATAATTTTATTAATAAAATTATACAAAATATTATTAATTTTAAATTTTTACTAAGTAAATTTTCTTTAACTTCTAATCAAAGTTGCAGAGGAGTGTTTTGTGATTAAAATGGTAATTAAATTATTAAAATCAGCCAGTAGATCATGATATATAAGTATTTTATCTTAATAGCTATTTGTTTTTCTTTATTTATATAAAGAAAATATATAGTTATAAGAAATAAAATACTTATATCTTGTAATCTACTAGGCCTATTTTAATGTTTTAACTACCATTATAATTACAAGATATTCTTCTACAACTTTTTTTAGAAGTTGAAAATAGGTTTATTTAGTAAAAAAAAAAGATTTTCTTAAAAAAATTCTAAAAACAAAAAAATTTTTATTATATTTTATTACTAAACTACTACTAAACCTAATTATGTTTATAAACTTTGAACTAAACCTGAATAAACCAAAACTTTAAGTTCAGGTTTAGTTTAGGTTTATAAATTCAAAGTTTAGTTCAGATTCAGGTTCAATGATCTGCAAAATTCGTAGTTTATGTTTAGATTTATTTCAGATTTATTAAACCTGAAATAAATCTAAAAACACTACCTTTTTCTATACTGTTTTCTTTTTTTATATTAACTTCTACACTATTTTCTTCTTTTATATTATTTTTTACATTATCTTTTACATTTTCTATATTATTCTTTACACTTTTTATATCATCCTCTACATCATTTATATTATCTTTTATACTATTATCATCTTCTATATTATTATCATTTTCTTGAAACACTTCAAAAACATAGAACCTAGTAATCATTACATCACATGAAAGTGTGAAATGATATTATTTATTTACCAGCACTAAACAAATTAGTCTAAACTAACCTATTATCTAACTCTAACACTAACTTTAACATAAGCCAAACACTTAATCATGTAAAATGATTACAAATATATTACTAGATTCCATGTTCTTGAAACTACCTATCTTCTTTTATACTATCTTTTCTTGCACCATCTTCTTTTATGCTATTTTCTTCTATACTATTTTCAAGCCAAGCTAAAATTACTAAAAAAAGTAAACTACAGTCAGACCTCCCTAAATGCAACACTCCTAAATGCAACACCTCTCTAAATGCATGATAAAAGACTAGCCTCATGATGGGATTTATAGATAAATGCATGTTCTT